TCTTTTGGTTATATATTTGTACAGCGCCTAGCATGGCAAAATTTGACTGCTATCCCATGTATATAATCATAAAGAAATAAGCAACACCAGCAGTCTTTCCTGCCCAAGTGCAGGGGGCTGGACCTGATGATCTATAAGGTCCCTTCCAGCCCCTACTATGAAACACCAAGGTAAGAAATTAAGGCAGGTACCTTGACATCCAGGACCTGTTTGACAGGGCTAGCAATTCTGTTAGGATATGCAGAGGCCTTCAGAGCTATTCTAGTGTGTCCAATTCAGACCTCGCTCGCCTGGGCACAAATCCAGCACAAGTCTACAGGAGTCAGTGCATTACTAACCTATCCTGGTACTTGCTTAGTCTGTTGAGAGCTAATAACGTCTGAGCACCAAGTGGACCCACAGGGAAGATAAGTGATTTGCACAACATCACATAAGTGGGGTTGAGGGACTGATCCTGTGGCTCACTGGGGCTTATTGACACCATCTCTGTGTTGACCATGGGAGCATGCCTGAGAAGCAGTCCCTGCCCACTTGGTCCCATGTTGTGTGCCCCCAGACATGAGGTGCAGCAGCCAAGTTGGCAAAATTAAACTGAAAATTTTGGATTTTACTTCCTCAGTCTTGGCAGGTTGAGGCAATGGCCTTTTGTTGCAGTGTCTGGGCACCAAGTTGCTCAACTTTAGGGAAAGATCTGTGCCTTAAGGATACGTGGTTCAGGGTGAGGGCAGAAGACAGGAGTCGGGAGAGTGGCACTCTGCCTCCAACTCACTGGATGGCCTTGATAAGTCATTACACCTCAATTTCCATACCCATACCATGGATAAACTAATCCTTACCCACCTACTGGGGTCTTAATACCTTTGTGTCTCTAAAGTGCTTTGGAGCCCTTGGATGGAGGCAAGAAGTACTGTTATTTTACTACAAGCTGGTCTGCGAGACTTCGCCTAGCCTCTATCTTCTTTAACGTGTCTCCCATGCAGAGAACGATCCCATATTCATTCCAGACCTAATTTAAAACCCCAAGGAACCCCATGGGCTTCAAGGAGTTTTGAATCTGTAAGTACAAGGGTAATGCTTTCTTAGGCCTTCCAGCCTTCATCACCTTGATGACTCAAAGAAAAAAAAAGCTGGGTAAAACCTGAGAGTAAATCCTCCCATTACCATTCCTTTTTTTTGAGCTGTTGTGTAGTTACATTTTCTGCTAGCCTGAGGTTAATGGCAGTGCACAGCTGCAGAGCAGTGTTGCCCCAACTTTCAGAACAATTATTATTGTTTGTTAGATTTGCATATCTCATTTGCCTTAAGCTAGACTGATTCTCTACTGATGATTTCCTTACGGACCTGCTTCCCAGTTCCTCTTTGGAAATGCCCCATTTTACAGGGCTGCAGAAAGAGCCCCCGGTACCCTCTGTAAAAGGCCAATTTAAAGGAAACTGTCAGGCTTACGGTAACACAGAAGATTAATCACAGACAAAATAAAGCTACAGGAAATGTAAAGACCTGCGTTCTTGCATGGGTAAGGATGGGTTTTGATCAGATAGTACGCTGGCAAAGTGCACCGAGTCCCCTTTATTGGCAAACCCCACAGCAGATAGCAACCAACTATTGCTAGCCAACAACCAGCTATTGCTGATGGAGTCACTCCTTTAGCTCAAAAGGTGAAGCTCTGTGATGAAGGTCCAATGATCTAATATTGTTGATAACTCACATGGTGTGAGGGGAGGGGGGAAACCCCCCCAGATATGACACAAAGACCCCAAAAAAGACTCTGGCTTACGAATACAACTATGCTGCCTTGCGAATGTATAGCTTTAATGACAATACCTTGCACTTTTGCCTGCGGACCCCCTGCCCTTCACGTGAGTGTGTTCAGCCTCACAATGCCCTTTGAGGCTCAGGCTTCTTTTCATTTTACACAGGAAGAAATTGAGATTAAGAGAGATTAGGTGGTTTTGACCAAGGTCAAAGCAGTGAGGAGGAAGAAGACCCACCCATCTCTTGCATAAAAGGCTTATCAGGGTAAAATAGGAACCTGATTTTGCAGCCTCAGGCTTCAAGGCATCAGCTAACCTCTGACCACGAGGAGTGAACAGGCAGCTTGCACTGGGGGACATTATCTTGCCTCTACCTGGTGCAGGGTGTCATATGCTTTCCCCTGAAACACCTGGTCAAAGACAGGACCCTGGCCTGACTCAGGCTATGTCTATATATTGAATTTACTTCAGGTCCACTTGGCTGCTCCAAGTGGGATGCCACCTAAACTGGCAGTAGTGCAGGCATAGCTGCCTGGGTGGGGTCACCTGCATGGGTCAGGCTAATTGGCACACAGTTACTAATTAGTTTGCCTCAATCATCCCACAGACATGACGATACTGTTTCCAGTTTAGGAGACAGAGCAGAGCACCTGAGGGTGGCTCGGCTGGGGATGGCAAGTTTATCACATGGACCTGACCTCGGTCCAGGCATATGGGTGTTTGAAATCTCCTGAGTCCTTGCCATATGCATTGATCATGAGATCCTCCTTTCATTTATTTTAAGCACTTAAACCATGATAGAAGAAAGATGACCTGGCTTGTGTTCAGCCATGCTTCGCTGCATTGAAACGCCCCAGGAGCTGTTGCTATTACTATTATGTATTTTCCACAAAGTGCCAATCAAGAAGAAAGTCCCATTGCACAAGGTATGGGAAAAGCCACAAAGACTTAATTATCTGGGCCCAAACTGGCCCACGGTGCCATTTCATCTGGCCTGTTGGGCTACTGCTGGGCTACTGGGAGCTGGGGGCATGGGTAGGTGGCATGGTGACGGGCTAGGGACAGACATTACACACACACTGGTTTAAATCATCAGACACTGGTTGAAACATGTAACAGAACAGATGTTCAGTGCACATAAAACAGTTTGAAAATGGCCCAAACTGGTTTGAAATAAACCTGGTTAACTGACTTGAGTCAAACCAGTGTATGCAATGTCTGTCCCGGACCATGGTAAAGAGGGTTTTTTTTTGTTTTTTGGGGGGTTTTTTTGGGGGGGAGGGGCGCATTTACACCGGCTTAAATTTATTTAGCAGTAAATTAATGCACCGTAAGCAGAAATTGGCTGGCGTCTACACATGCAAGCATTAAAGTGCATGTGTAGTTTCCAGCAGAAATTGGCTGGCATCTACACATGCAAGCATTAAAGCGCATGTGTGGTTTCCAGGTTTTCCTCTCCTAGATCCTGTTCCAGATCAGCCCAAAGGTCTGGCTCCCACAGGTCTGCATAAAAAGAAACCTCCCAACTAAAGGGAACTCAGGAAGTCTGTGCGGGGCGAGGCTGGGAAAAGGGTAATGTTTGGATAAATGTGTCCACCTGGTTCAGACATCCATGCTCTGGCCTATTTGCTCAAATCAGCAAGAGGTACTTTGCTTTCCCTGCTTAGCAAGATAAGATCATCTTTGCTTGAGAACTGCGCAGCCCTTTAGCCACATTTGTGTGATGAGATGATGAGATCCTGCCACCGGAGGTAGTACTGCTTGCTGGCTAGGCCTACGGTATGATGAGATGGCACAGGCTGCAGAGAGGAGGGGGCAATCCCTATTTCAAACAGCTTTCAAACAGAGGTGGTGAGGGGGGAAACTGCTGATAGCTGGCTTCTATGACAGAAGAGGATATTCAGAAATGATTTCAATGAAGGCAGCCTTGTCTACCACTTTTCAGGTACTTATGTAGCCCCTTTATCACAGTGTCTGAACACCTCAAGGGGTGTTGGTTGTAGCCGTGCTGGTCTACGGAGATAGGATGACAAAGTTTTTGGGGGTAAATCTGTTATCTTTCATTAGGCCAACTCAAATAGCTGGGAAAATTCTTCTTTGCAAGCTTTTGGGCAAAGAAGAATTGTTCTAACTATTTTGGTTGGTCTAAAATGCAGCTGAGTTTTCCATCTATTAAAATAGAGGAGTTTCCCATCTATTGACTCCTCTGTGAAATCCTCTGAAATATGAACTTTCATTTCTACCCAGGAGGACTTTTACCATCTTTTCTCCGACGCCCAATGAAGGGTGTTTGTGCCCCAAATCTTGCCATTAAAGACCTTTTTTGCAAAAATTTTGTTGGTCTAATACAAGAGAGCACCTCGACTACGAGTCCTGATGGTTGTGATCCTAAAGGCGTTTATTCTCACATCACACCAGCGCAGTAGGGAAGGGTGGCTCTGCTCGTTTTACAGAGTGGGACCAGAGGCCCAGAGCAGCTAAGGGACTTACTTGAGGTCTCAGAACAAGACCATGGTCTCCTCAAGTCCTAGACTAGCAGGCCAACCGCTGGGCCATCCTTCCTCTCTGAGTGTGCCTAGTCTCACACATGCTATAAAAAGCTACCACGCTGAAGGAGGCCAGGGTAACAAAACAGGAAGGAACAAGTCAGTGGTGTGCGGGCTCTTGATAACACCTACAGAACAGCGACTACAAAATGCCCACCAGACTCTGTGGACAGCCCACTTCTTGAAAAGGCAAAGGCTCAGTCTCCCCAAGAAGTCAAAGATGTGGTCCAAGGAAACAGAAACCTACCCGAGATGGGCATTGGGCCGTAGCTTCATACATTTGCTGTCAGAAAAACACACAAAACCAAACGCACTGTTTTGGGGGAAAAGATTTGACCTCCCACTTCCGCACACCACCCACCATGCACCCCCACCACCTTGGCTCTAACATATGGGAAGGCAGCCTAATTGTAGCCAGCCTCCCTGCAGTACAGCTCAAATACCTGGATTAGAAATGCAGGCGCTGTAACAAGAAAAATCTCTTTTTGCGTAAATCCCCCGCCCAGTTTTGCAAACGTGCCTAATCCCACTGCATCTGTCTAGGTCCGTTCAGTTCTGGTAAGTTCAAATGGTTGTAGAGCCAGAGGAGAAACAGCTGGCATTTGCACGGGGAGCTGGTTTTCCACCTGAAGCTATTGGAGAGTCGACTATCAGCAGTGACAATATAGCCGGGGTGACCCCCTTTCTTTCTGGATCTTACCTTTGCACGTTTCACTCTCTCGTACAAGGAAAGCGCCGGCTTTGTTACCAGGAGCTAAAAGCAGTCGTTCGGCTTCCTTTCGGCTAATAGTTTTAAAAAACCACCTGGGGAATAAAAGATGCAAAATAATTATAGAAACGCTCCAGGAAAGGCCAGTCCTTTCCAGGCTCTACCCTTTATGCCATTAACATGCTGAATGTTGTATTTAAGAGGAAATAGTTTTATCCTTTGTAAAAGCCCCTTACTAAAATATTTGGAATAGATTAGAGTCAGAGCTCTACTCACTTTAAGTTCAAATATCACCTTATATATATATGCCCATTGCAGTTTTAATCAGAGGCTTCTGGTTTACTAGGTTATGCAGCTGTAGGTTATTCGAGAGCTGCTGTGTTATGTCTCAGAAATGGTGGCTTTCTATGGTGACAGAAGTAATTTTTGTAAAGGTAAATGCTTCGTCTGACAACTTAAAGTTCATTCTCACTCCAGACGTAGTCATCTTGGAGCAGTATTTCCTATGTCATATGCATAAGGAATGCCCCTGGAATTAGGAATACCTCTGTAATGGGAATGAATTTGCTGAAGTGCTTCTTGTACACGTGCCTTTGCAATTCTTGGGGGCTAGAGCTGCTCTAGTATTATAAGGCATCGTATTATAATGTGCATGCCTTTTAAACCATTACTGGTTGCAGATATGTTCAGGGACTGAAGCCCTCCTAGACTGAAGTGAGGAAAAACACTGAAAGCTGCCCCTTCCCTTTATACCACACTAGAAGCACATCAGCCCCCTGCACTAACTCATGCATATGCAAAGGCTATAGAAATCCAAGGATGTAACCCTCTCATTAGAAGGTGCAGCAACTCTAGTAGTTTTTGCATTGGGCTTTTAGCCAAATTCTTATTAGCAATTTCATTGTGTCTGCCTCAAACCTACTCTGCCTGTTGAGCTTCACTTCCTGTCCTAAACTGGTGTGCAGAGTTGGCGTAGGCTGCAAAACTTGTCGCCTTTTACTCCAGAGGTGCAGTTTGCTGTGGACTGAAGAAGATCCTACTGGTGGTCAGGCCTTCAGGCTCCTTCTGGAAGGAAGGGGCTACCTTAAGCGGATACACTCCTATTAGCGCGAACAGGTTATAAGAGTTATGCACTTACTTTTCCACTTCCAAGGTATCCACCTGTGCAACAAAGTTACTGGGGACATAACCTTTCCTCCCCGTGGTGAGAGATTTTGCCAGCCACCAGTCACCGTCGCTGTGAACCGAAGAGGAAGTACAGTCACCATGAGATTTAATGAGGATCCTGCCTATGGTTGAGGGAACCTCAGTGAGGTTGAGGTTGCATCTGCCTTGCAAATTAGGGGCTTGTAACTGCATTTCTCTTGGTAGGTATGAGCTTTTCCTCTGAAACACTAGACATGAGACCAAGCACCAGACTTAAGGCCAGAAAGTCTGGTCTTTGGTCGCTCAGAGCCGTGGTTGACGACAGCACTGCCAGAGCAGCGGCTGAAAGCTATTCCTGTCCAATAGATGCCTACATGTCATGACTTGAATGGTCTCAGACCCTAAGACAGGACTTTGTATGAGTCCTATCCCCAGGCATAGCTGACCTCTTTGGTAGCCATCTCATAGAGAGAGGTCAAGGACTGAACATTATCTTTGAACAGCCCCCGCCCCCCCGCCCCCTTGCACAGCTAGGGGTAACCCTAAAGACTTAATGATAAACACAACTTGAAGGCCAGCCTGCATTTGGATTAGCCATTGGCTTCTGTTTCAGGGCTGCTCGAAAAGCTTTTAAAACAAAATACTATATTTTCTTGCATATAACCTCCACCTTTACCCCCAAAAACCAACTGGTGGAAACTGAAGAGCACATTACATGCAAGAAATATGGATCCCGCATGGGTCTGGAAATTTGGCAGCAGGGGTATGGTGGCATCTTGGAGCCACAGCAACTACCACTTCCGCTGCTC